TAGATAGATAGATAGATAGATAGATAGATAGATAGATAGATAGAAAAGGAATAGCCATAGATAGATAGATAGATAGATAGATAATGAATAACCATAGATAGATAAATAGAAAATAAATAGATAGATAGATAGATCGAAAATGAATAGCAATAGATAGATAGATAGATAGATAGATAGATATGAACATTCTGAGATAGATAGATAGATAGATAGATAGATAGATAGATAGATAGATAGATAGATAGGAGTGGATTTGGTAAGTTGCATTGTCGGGAGATATCCACCGAGTGAGTTATATTAGCATGTTGATCATTAGATGTAAAATCAAGTTATATGAATATTTCACGTCTCAATTTTTAAAAAAATGTTATTTTGCTCCGCCATTTTTCTTTTTAATTTAGTTCTCTTTCTCCTTTTTCCTGCTTTTTTTTCTGTCCTGCAATTATCTCTCTTGCCCAAGCGTTCTTCCGCATTCAATACCTGACCGGAAACTCTTCGCTACGGGAAATTTCCCTCCAGTCGCCACCAAAATGACTAATCCCGCTTCTTAAAACAATGGATATTTTCTTCATAGCGCTTTCAACGACGAGATTGCATTTACATCTCCATGAAATTAAATTATTTTCAATCAGGAACCTAAATCAAAATCTGGCTCCAGTCGCCATGTTTTGCAAGTAATGGACGACACGGCAGACGATAAAATGGCAATGCTGAATTAACATTAATTAATGATATGAATTCATTTTTCCGAAGGAAAAGTCATTAAGAATCACTAAATAGTCTTCGCAACAACCGATGTGATTTCCACTAATGGTGTGGTCCAGTGGTTAGGCTAATGACTGCCGAATAAGTTTTAATTTCATCCCAGCTAATTATGGGTGACGTCATAAATGTAATATCGTTTTTGTTAATATCAAGATAAAACTGCTAAGCAATTTACTGGGAGAGTGGGATACTTGAGTAGGTACCAATAGCTCCTGCGTTTGCCATTAAATCCTAAGTTAAACGAAGAAAGCTGATTTTAAAGGTGTTATGACATTCCTGACTTGGAAGATTTGCACACGAGAAAAATTGGGCTTAAATCAAGCTTAATAAAAATACATTATCAATAAAAACAGCCATATCTATATATCAACCTATTTATAGCCTTGTCTATGTGGATCAATTGATAATTGTATCCAATATTTTTCGCATAAGTAAATTATTATAATTTATTTTATTTTGCTTTATAGGTATATAATAAATACCAGTAAATCTATCTATCTATCTATCTATCTATCTATCTATATATATATATATATATATATATATATATATATATATATATATGCATGTCTCATTGAATAAATTAGAGATATTATGTAAGCTAATTTTTAACAAAATCCGTTCATACTCACGACAGAATAAATATAGACTGATAATATCTGCTACAGAATGAATATGGACTGATAATCGGTGAGAGCAGGAAACTACTGGTATCAATCAATAACTTATGTCCAAGTTTTTTACTTAATCTAAAACTATTAAAATCAAATAACTGTTTTTCGATTTTTAGTTAACTTTTTTAAAATTAAGATTGTGTTATATAGACGTATTGATTATGAATATTCGATGTACAATTGTTGAATTGTCTTTGCAATGTGCATTAATCAGCTGGAATATCATTTGGATCAAACAAATGTCAAGTTAACCTACGAGATATGTGATTGATAGTTGATTCAAAGATTTATTTTTTTACGGATAATTAACCATTTGTGGGATATCTAAAGACGAAATATGTTTTAGAATAGACGGATATTTTTTGTTGTTTTCGTAAGAAATAGAGCATTAAATATTTTTGTAGAATAACAATGATTTTTCTAGGCTCATATCTTGTTATTTAACCCTTAGATGGGGGTGTAGATATGTATAACATTCCTAAAGATATTTTCGCGGACAAGAATATAACGGATCCGGCTTGAATTCGAACATAATATTCCTTAGGCCACTGGTACATCTACAAAACCCACATAAAAGAGAAAATAATTTAGGTATTAATTCAAATTGCATTGTTATATATGAAAACATTTATTTGGCAATACATATATATATATATATATATATATATATATATATATATATATATATATATATATATATATATATATATTAAAGTTGATAAAGCCGGTGGTGTATAATCCAAGTAGATTCTAGTAATATAAAATATTAAAACTGATCAACAAAAAGGGCTGAATATATTTATTACAAAGCAAAAAAAAATTAAATATTTTTAAACATACCTTGTCATTGGAAGAATATTTTAAGTAGGGATTTGTATTTTTAAACATAACCTTATCTATTTAAACTAAAAAAAAAACAAAAAAACCTTTTCGTTCCTCTCTCAGCTACAAATTAACACATCATTCTTCATATAATCCCCAATTATAGTTTTAAGTTTAATATCCGGGATTAATTTTATGAAACCTCTTCCTTTTTAAGCTAATACCTTCCACCATCCGCTGATCACTGTCTCGTGTCTTTTGTCTGACTGAAACATTGAAATGGATAATTCCGACACGAACTCAGTCTATATACCAGGATTGAATATGTCTGACGAAGTTGTCGTCGGTTGAAATAGGTCTATTCCTATATGAGGAAATTTTATATTTTCTTGTGTACTTTATATATATATATATATATATATATATATATATATATATATATATATGGTTGTATTTATGCAGTGATGATTCTTTTAAACAAGTTTTATTACACGATACCGACGAAGTCTGTCTGTCCAACGTTTTATTTAGTTATTCTAACTTCCGACAAAGTTGAATTATCCATGCAAGTACTTTCGACTCTCACTACAGTCGCCATCAAGAATTGCGTATTAATAGCTTTGCATGTTGTTAGAACGGCGTCTTTAATGATTTTCGGCGTTTTTTAGCCTCGGAACCAATTTCAAATTACTTAAAGTTGACGTCATCTATCATGGAGAAACTAAATGTATACGTACTTGTTTTTTTGTTTTTTTATAAACACTTCACTGTAGGATCTCCCATGGAGAAAGAAGCCCTTTTAAAAGTTAGTTGCTTCCTTCGTATTGAAACGACCCCAAGAATGCCGAATTTTTTCTTTGGATTGAATCCTATTTAATATTTTGGTGTTCTCTATTAAAATTTCTCTTATGTTAATAGTATTTTGCTTGTGTGTTATATGTTGATCTATATGTGTGCGAATTGCACACATATAGATTGTATGACAAATAACAAGTCAACTTACGAGAGAGCGTAGTGCATGTGTAGCCAGTGTAACAATTAATGCTGTTAGTGTTGTTGATACAACCTCTCAAAGAACGTGAAAATTCGTAAACAATAATAATTTTACATACGATGGATTTTTGACACGAGAAATTATTTATAAGAATTAGATTAGACTTTTTCAGTTTTTGCAACAAATGATAATATATATATATGCGTGTGTATGGTGGGGGATAAGTGGGCGTGTGTGCATATATTTAAAAACAGAGCCATAGAGAGAGAAACAGAGAAAGAGCAAGTGAAAAGGGAGGTAGAGAGAGGAGAGAGACGCATGGACATACAGTAAAGACGCTTTCGCGTTCTCTCTCTCTCTCTGTATATATATATATATATATATATATCCCATGATCCATGCCTCTCTCTTTTAATGTATATATACATAAAGAAGGAGTGGAAGGAGAAAGAGAGGAAGAGAGAGATGAGTTAGGCCATCAACCCAATTTTTGTACAAAATAATTGATAATCTAATCGAAATATGAGCATTTTCACACACCATAAAATATTCCTTCAGGTTGAGAATTGTTCAGTGATTTTTCTTTTAAATTGTTTTATATATATATATATAAGAAGAAATATAGTCTTAAGGTGTGCTATATTTATGGGATAAAGTGCTCGATATCAGAGATAGAGCGTGTGTAAATATAAAAGTGAACATAGAAGTCAACACTTAGTCAGGCCGACAGTTGTTTCATGCTGAAACAGACTGTCAGGCCTGACGTTGACTGCATGTTCACTTTATATATATATATATATATATATATATATATATATATATATATATATATATGTGTGTGTATATATCGGTAAAACTGAAAGAATATTTAGATAATGTCACATAAGTATATCGTCTATCTAGACATATATGTACAAGGTGGTCCGAAAGACTTGTTACCCGTACACAATATAATTTTCTAGATGATACGAGCTCCTACAGATTAGAAATGGAAGAGAGGGTGACAAGACTTTCAGACCACCCTGTACAACACCGCGCAAATCATTTTGGCCAATTTAAAATTTAAACTCTTTTAAATTTCTAATAATTGCCAGTGGATTTTTTTTCTCCAGTGGAAATACATGTTTGGAAGGTTTATGAACCGGGGCAAATAATTAAAAAAAAAAAAAACTAAAAAAAAAAAAAAAAAAACATCCCAGCAAAACAATTACTTGATTGCCTTAAGTAACGCTGCCGTCTCATCTGAAAACGAGGCGGTGTGGCTTTTATTCTAGTCTCATTAGAGACGAGATTTGCCAGGCTTACTTTTTTTTTTTAAATTTTTTTTCTTTTTCTCGCGAGAGAATGGTTAAATCAATAAATCAGACAGAGTGCAAGAGAAAGAGAAAATTAGAGAAACATAGAAGCGGCAATTTTGGGGGAAAACGAAAGACAGTCGTGCGCCAGAGGGTGACATTGCATACAGCGCGTGATCGGTTTAAAGGACTGTCGCATTCGGACGATAAGTCACGTCAAAATGACTGAGAGCGAAAAGCATATGGCTGACAAAAGATTAATAGACAAGATTTGCTGTGCGCCATTTTTACAAATACCGGAAATTAATCAGGGCTCCCTTCTTCAGAAATTATTGAGTTTCGACGCAATTCAGGCCATCTTTGTTGCACTTCGATCAAATAATTATTTTAATAGATGACATGTTTAATGCAATAATCATTACTGCCACAAGAGTATATTATATGATCTTTCTAGCATGTCTTGAACAACGGTACGAGTACTCCATAAATTATTGGTAATCTCCTACATTTCCCCGTTAACAATATCGAATATTTATAATGAGTGGAAACACTCAAGTGAGTATTAACATCAATGAAGAAGAAGAAGAAGAAGAAGAAGAAGAAGAAGAAGAAGGGGAGGAAGAGGGGAAGAAGAAGAATGAGGAAAAGGAGAAAGAGCGAGAGGGGAGAAGAAACAGGAGGAGAAAAGAAGAATGAAGAGGAGGAGAAAAAGAACATGGAAAGAAAAAGAAACAAAAGGGAAGGAGGAGAAAAAAACGAAGCCATGAGGAAAAGAAATGGAAAAGAAAATAGGAAAAAAGTACAAAAATCACAAAGATCAGAAAAAAAAGAATGAATAATCATGGAAGAAGAAGAAGAAGAAGAAGAAGAAGAAGAAGAAGAAGAAGAAGAAAAGAAGAAAGAAAGAAAGAAAGAAAGAAAGAAAGAAAGAAAGAAAGAAGTGGGGGAGAGGGTGGAGAAGGAGAGGAAGAGGAGGTGGAGAAGGAGAAGAACGAATGCAGAATTTTCTTATGAATGAACGCTTCTAGAGGAAAGCCACTTCAACGGAATTTCGAAAAATCAGTAGAAAAATATTATTATTATTAATTGTAGTAATAGTTATAATAATTGAAAAGAATAAAAAGAAAAAGGGACATTAGTAGTAGTAGTATTAGTTGTAGTAGCAGCAGTAATTGAGAAAGAGGAAAAAAGAACAAGAACCATTAGTAGTAGCAATAATAGTTAACTGATTTGGTTTTGTTTGATTTACGGCGTATTAGATTATGACAAATTAAAGTTTCTAAGGTTGTTTAGTGAAATCTCTCAAAACTCTTCTTCTGAGCCTGATAGCTTCCTTATATTCATCACTGAAGCAAAGTCTGTTACGTTTTTGGTAGTGAATATTTTGGACTGCATTCCTTTGCTATAGATATAAGGATTTCCGTAAAGTGTTTTAAGTCTTTGATGCATTTAACTTCAGCTAGTTTAGCAGAAAATTGGTTTTGAAATTTGTCCCAATTCGTTCTGCCTAATTTCCAATGGAGAGAATTTTTATCATTATGTTCTGAATTTTGCAGAACATTTGGCAGCTGATCAATACAGCATGTGTCTCATAGAACCTTCCAAGTAAAATCCATATAAAGTAATGGAACACATATCGATACATCTATTGCAGAATAGCTGCTAGTAAATGGATTTATGTAAGTCAAAGTTTTATCCTTAAAAATACATGAATCATTGTTGTTTACAATTGTTTCTAAAGTTTTTTTTTTGGTTTATGTCTTTGCAGTCCCATATGGTGCTGTGGCAATTAAACTCCCCTGGCATCATATGCAGGGTGTTGCCTTATAATTTCATGAATTTCGTCTTCATTTACTCGTTCATTAAAGAGATATATACTGAGCAAATATTTATTCGCACATGTAGGGCCACTTTAACAGCAGTCGTCTGTAAAATATTTGTCAAATTTATTTTACTTTAGCGTATATTATTCTTAAATAGAAATACTGCCAGATACACGATTCCCAGTGTAAGGGGTCTGGTTGAATTTCTAGTATTCTTCTAAATTCCCTTATTTACCTTGCCTGTTGCAGGTCTGTTATTAGCAGAAGCAATTCATTAATATTTGGATTTATTCGCCCGTCTTTTGAACAGGAGAAGAGGTTTATGGCTTGATTCCTGTTTAGGATTGGGTTTCCGGTTGCATCTGAAGTTAACTCTATATTTCTAACGTCTCTGAAATTTTATTCGATAATTACATCTTAAACTTTTCAAGTGTAGAAGTAACTATCTAAGTTCCCTCTTAGCTTGCCCTTTCTTACGCTAATACAACTCCACACAGTAGCACTCTTCCTTGAGTGGCTCTTGAGCCTTGTACTGGTGGACATTAGGAAACAAAGAAAAAAGGTGACGGAAACAAGTAAAGATGAGAACTAGTGACAGTAGTAGTAGTAGTAGTAGTAGAAGAAGAAGAAGAAGAAGAAGAAGGAGGAGGAGGAGAAGAAGAAGAAGAAGAAGAAGAAGAAGAGGAAGAGGGAGAAGAATAAATTGATAAAATAGTAATAATACCATTAGATGAACAAGAATATTTTGAAAAGCAGTATTAAAAGGAAAAAGACAAGGAAAAAGCTACAAGGGGAACAAGAAGATTAAAAAAAATATTATAGTAGGCAAAGAGGAATAACTAAAAGCTGTCAGGGTAGAATTGTGAGATGTCAAAAGAGAAGAAGAAGAAGAAGAAGAAGAAGAAGAAGAAGAAGAAGAAGAAGAAGAAGAAGAAGAAGAAGGAAGAGGAGAAGGAGAAGAAGTAAAAATAAAAGAAGAAGAAGGAGAAAAAGAAGCGGAGAAAAGAAGAGGAAGAAGGAGAAGTAAAAGTAAAAGAAAAAGAAGGAAAAGAAAAGGAGGAGGAAGAAGAAGAAGAAGAAGGTCAAAGAAGTAAAAGAAGAAGAAGAAGAAGAAAGCCTCAGAAGAAGGAATGGAAGATAAAGAATTCGAAAAGAACAACAAGTCGAAGACAACGTGGTGGAAGATGAAGAAAGAAAAGAAGACGACGGAATCGAATAACAAGTCGAAGAAGAAGTGGAAAAAAAGAAGAAAAACATATGAAACAAAAGAAGAAGACGAAGAAAGAAAAAGTAGAAGAATAAAAAGTATTAGAAGAAGAAGAAGAAGAAGAAGAAGAAGAAGAAGAAGAAGAAGAAGAAGTGGCGGTATGAGAGATGGGCAGAGGAGAAATATGAAATAAAGAAGAAGAAGAAGAAGAAGAAGAAGAAGCAGATGTCGGTGGAATAAAAGTAAAAGAATAAGAAGGAAGCGAAAAAGAAGAAAAAGAAACTGAAGACAAAGAAGAAGAAGACGAAGAAATTGGAGAAGTGATAGCAGATTTAATTAATTTAAGAAGTAGAAGAATAGAAAAAAAAGAAATCGATGGAAAAAAATCGAATAATAACAAGAAAACGTACAAGAAAATGTAGAAGAATTTGAAGAAGAAGAAGATCAAATCGAAGAAGACGAAGAAGAGGAAAAGGTAAAGAAAAATGAAGAAAAGACGAAGGAAAAGTAGAAGTCGAAGAAGAAAAATCAAAGAAGAAATCAAAGAAAAAGTAGAAGCTGAAAAAGAAAAAGAAGGCGAAGAAGAAGTAGAAAGCGAAGAAGAAAGCAAAGAAGAAGAAGAAGAAGAAGAAGAAGAAGAAGAAGAAGAAGAAGAAGAAGAAGAACTGTTCATTTATTTTGCTTGAGATGCTCTTTGGCTAATAATGCTTATTCAAAATCATTGAATATCAATGAGCGGCAAAACATTTTTCAAGCATCGAAGAATGACAAAAGTCCAACGGCATCGAATGTCATACTGAAGAGCAGCATAAATGTTAGTCGTCTGCTGCAAGCGAGAACCCCATTCTATCGTCATTCGTAGGTTGTGACCTGCATATTGCTGTCCAGACATGTCAAGCACACATACCCGCAAGGTAACCATGGCTCTCAGACATCGACAACGCACCAATTTCAGTGAATTATTCAATTAACCACGCTACAAGTATCCCGACATTGTTATCTAAGTCTAAGAATAAGAAACAGAGGCTTATCTTAAAAAGCAGACACAATCTGGCCCCCGGAATGACTCATAAGATAATCAACGCATAATTAAAAGTTAACAAATGGAACAAATAGAATAAATTATTTTGTTTATCTGAATGGATTTTAAGACGTGTATATATCGTCTAGATAAAAGAATGTATTAAACTGTATGAAGAAAAGAAAAAGAAAAAGGACGAATGAATAAAAGGTGTCAGATCATTATTAACTCGTCCGTTGATTTAATACAGTTAAACTAAAGATATTCTTAAGCAAATGCAAAAGGAAAGTAACTCCGAGTGACATCCCTGGGAAATAAGGCTTGATGCGCAATGAAGAACAATTCACATTTTTTTAATACTAACAACTAATCGTATATATATATATATATATATATATATATATATATATATATATGAAGAAAAATATATACGGAAAAAACAAACAAAAATCCTTATATACAATTATGCTGTTTTAATGTTAATATGTCAACGTCGGACGTTTCGGTCTAATAAACAATTTTCAGGACATATTCATAAATATAACATTATCAATACAACATGGCAAAGATGGTTTATTGGACTAAAAAGAAGAGAGAAACCGCAAAAGTTTTTGGTGGTAATGTGGATTATTTTTTAAAATAGGCTTTATTTTCCATCATTTTGCTACACGTGTTTCTGGTCTCACGACCGTCATCAGTCAAACGTTGGAGATTTCCACATATTATTAAAAGTAATTAATTTTTTCCTTTTATGTTTTTCGATGTTAAATATTCTCGATATGTGAGATTGTCTTTTTTTTGTTAGTGACCTAAACGTCTTTCTTGAACTGGCAGTGAAAAGTTATATATATATATATATATATAAAGACATTTTTATGTTTATATATTCTTTTTATGGATACAAATATTTAAGTAAATGCTCCGTTTATAATAAACAGTATTAAACAACATTTATCGGCCTGAATATCCGAGAAATTTTCACAGAAAATATTCGTCCTCCGGCAGTATTCGAACCTGTATCCTATACGGAACCGTCATTTAGCTTGACGTGCCTTAACCGATTTGGCTACAGAGGCGCGTTCGGTTAGCAAGGACGAATTAACTGTATTTGCTACAAAAAATTGTTCTGACAAGTACAGCCCACACTTTACGAAGGGCTTTATCTATGTAATATTATTTTTTTTTTTTAACCTTAGGTCCCTGGGCGGGACACGGAAAGAAATGTGTAAACGCCACAAATCAAAGAAAATAATAATAATAATATTAATAATAGGAGGAGGCACGGTGGAGTAGTGGATAGCGGCTTGGTTTCAGGAATAGGAGAGCCGATTTCGAATTCCAGTCGGATCCATTACATTCACTTACGTGCTAATACCGTAAAGGTGCGAATCCTCGCTCTTCTCCTCCCTCTAGCTATGGGTAAATAGCAGGATGGCAACTGGTCTAGGAGAAGGACAACTCTTAATTCAAAACCTGCGGAAGTTTGTTTGGGGACCCTGTGGCACGTAGGGCACCAAGTCTCTGTATTCGGCCCTTCAAAAAGTTTGTATATATATATATATATATATATATATATATATATATATATATATATGTGTGTGTATTGTTGTTGCAAGTGCATATTACCAAAGGAGAGCAACTATTGCCCCAAATCGCTCAGCAGACCACCATAGAAACCTGCTATTTTTTGCCAATTGTCTGCCAGAAGTTCTTGGAAAATTTCTGACTGGGATTTCTCCAGATACGTTCACATGATATGCAAAGACATGTTTCGTTCGAGAAGATTAGACCTTACCAAAATATGGACTATTCTTGGACATTTTACTAGACCATTCCTTTCTGTTCTTAATATTGGCTGAGGTGAGAAAAAATATTTGACACAGTTCTTCCCTTGATATCCAATGTTATGGAGACACTGAACAGTTATTCTATGCTGGAAGCCTTATCTCTTGGTTTGCCCTCCACAGACCGCTGAGCAAATAACTACCTGATGGTTCAAGTCACTCAGAATGCGGTGATACAGGTTATGAATTCAAGTTCAAGAATCCTACTTCCTGTTCTTCATATTCAATTCTTTCTCGTTATGAAAACAAAAAGAAATAGTTTGTTTTTTTGTTTTTTTATTTACTTTGCACTTGGGCGGATAATCACAGCAAAGATCTCATTCTTATTGATGCTTACAAAATTTTGCTTCAGGAGTCAGTTGAATGTGTTGCGCCATTTTTTTCGGAAATAGGAATCTTTAGTGTGTTCAATCCTCACTGAGTGACTCGTGTTTTTGTCATTTCTTCTAAAACTTACTATTTAAACCATAGATAGGGAGAAGTGTTGCACTTTAGAAATGAGAAAAATCGATTTTTTTTCTTTAAAAGACGATTCTTTTATAAATAAAACCAACTATTGGTATAATATTATCAATTTTGCTTGTAATTTTTTATTCATTTGTGACTACAACAATATATGTAAAAGAAGAACTATATTCATTCTTTATAGAAAAATAATTACAACTGACGTTTGCTGTTTCTGAAGCAAAAGATGCTTACACTTATGACCTTCCTTAGTTGAAATCGCCAATGGTTTATGCTGTGGTATCCTCCTTCTAAGGAGCCTATGTTGGACTCTTCCGCCTACTATAAGATTATTAGGAGAGATGGTCTTGGGAGAAACAGTCGAATAGATTGTTCAACTGTCGAACTCTCTGCCTTGAGCAGAGAGGAACCCGGACGAGGATTTGCCGAAGGGCAAAGCTTCGTACGTTGAGGTAGACAAGCCCTGAACCCGTGTATACGGGTTCTAAGGGGATATATTTTTGGTCGAGTCTACGGTCTCGGAGAACCCACGGTAAACTCGGCCTTGTGCCACATACATCCCTCATTGGGGGGAGGAGGCTGTTAAATATTAACAGTCGAATAGATTGTTCTAGCGAGGCCGTGACTTTCCGCAGTTGCTGTCGAAGTCTCTGCCTTTGGGCAGAGTGGAACCCGAACGAAGTCGTGCCGAAGTGCAAAGTCTCGTCTACGGAGGTAAACAGACCCGAACCCTTTTATGCGGGTTCTACGGGGATTTTTTGGCGAAAGCTACGGGCTCGGATGATCCACATTAAACTCGGCCTTGTTCCACATCTAACCTCGTTGGTGGGGGCTGCTGAACATTGACAGTCGAATAGATTGAACGCTGGGTCTACCGACACACACTAGCCGTTTAATATTCGTCTGTTGTACTTAGTTTTAATGCGTGATATATCTGAAACATTTGTTTTGTTATTTCTTAAACCATTTACATATTGGCAACGAATGATTCAAAAAACGGACTTCACGTTAAATCATATTTTTTTTTGCCAAAGTCTAAAACAATGGTGAAGAAAGGAATTCTAATCAAACTCTACGACAAAAGAGTATCCAGTGTTAATTACAACACTGGCAGTGAAAAAACAAACTCATCAAAGCAATAGGATTTCTACAAGTTCAATTCAGTGGTTGGGAAGAAGTTTGGTGAACCTTGTTATTTTTTCCACTGCAACAAGTCAGTAAAAAAAAAAGAAGTTGTGACCAAGAAAATTGGTAAAGAAATAACAAAACAAGTGTTACAGATATATATATATATATTAACATAAAATACAACAGAAGAATATTACACGACTAGTGTGTGTGTGTCGGTTGACCCAGAGTTCAATCTATTCGACTGTTATATTTAACAGCCCCACCACCATCACGAGAGATGTATGTCCCGGGTTTACCGTGGGTTCTCTGGGCCCATAGGCTCGGCCAAAAATATTTTCTTAGAACCCACATAAACGGCTTCAGGACCTGTCTGCCTCCCCGGACGAAACTTTGTCCTTCGGCAAAGCCTCGTCCGGGTTCCTCTCTGCTCAAGGCAGAGAGTTCGACAGTTGAACAATCAGGCCTTCTCTCCTACTAATCTTATAGTAGGCGGAAGAGTTCAACATAAACTCTTTAGAGGGAGAACACCACTCTAGTTTAAAATCTGACAGCTTTACCTTCAACGTAACGTTCAAGAAAAATTGTAGGTAAGCATTCTTTGTATATGTGGTAATGTCTGGACGTGAGAACGAAAAGAAACAATATTTTTAATAAACTCTATTTTCCTCTTGGAATTAGGAGTGACATTCAGCCAGCCATTGTGCTAAATGCGGCCCGTGGGGCACGTTTTGCCCATGACTGATTTGGTACCTGAACAAAGTTCAAAGTTATCGGGAAACAGGTCCATTTTGCGTAGCCATAATATGCTTTAAGGTTTAACTTGTACTCCTTCATTCTGTTGAACAAAAAAATTAAGTTTCTTTCCAGCCGTGGGATTTTTTCTTAAGCCCTTTTTTTTGTGGTGGAGATAATAATGGTTTTAGTGATACAAATCTTACTAATTAACCTGTAGTTGGGGGAGAAGACGTAGATTCATACCTTTCCCAACGGTATTTGCGTATAAGTGAATATAAGAAACTCAACTAGAATTGGAACCCGGCTCCTCAATTAACAAGTCTAAGTCATTATCCATTACACCACCCGCACATCCAAGCTTACAGTACTTGGTATACTCAAGCGGTCACCCATCTGGGTGCTGACCCGGCTCGTTGATCGTACGGGAACCGGTGTTCCAACGTGATGTGGCCATAAGCCAAAGCTGGAATTGTAGAA